CTGCTATTGGTATTTTTAATGGATTAATAGATTAGAGAATGTTAAGAAATTTTATTTTGTGTTGTTTTAGAGGTTCCTTAAATTAATATCCTTAACCAACTCATGTGATGTTTGCAGATTTGTTTTGTTTTGTCTTTCTGTGTCCTACAAGAAGACTTCATATTATTTGTTTAATGACGCTTATTTTCTAAAAACCGATCACTTATAAATATCATATAAGGCTTTAGACATATGTCTCTAGAATATTCTTGCAACTGATTCTTCATGGCCATATTTGTGAATCAAGCAATAACAAGTCAGGACAGAAGAAAAGCCTGGAGCTCATTTATTGTACCTCTGCATTTTTTGTACTATGGGGCTCTTTTCTTCTAGACCCTTTCTGCTTTAATATTTTCATGGTTACAGTTTCTGCTGTGAGTTTTTCTTGTCCCTTAGTTTCCTTTCCTAGGAACTGTGCCATTTTTTCCCTTGCATTCTCATTTAGTGTCTGCCACCTGAGTTCCTCCCAGTTCCCCAATGTAAACCCTCTGACTGTGAGACTTTGCATTGCAGCAACCCCATTTTTAGCATGGAGCACTTTTCCATTTTTGAGCCCTCCTTCTATGCATTTACTTTCTCCATAAAACTTTTGCTGGCTTTCAGAGTTTGAGAACTGAATCCAGATCCATGTTTCCTGCATGGAGTAGACCAAGGTGGTTTTAAGAACCCATGTTTTATGGTATAAATGAACAGTGTCCACTGCCTAAATCAGTGGGAGTTGAACTAAAACAATCAAACTTATTTTTTTTGTCTCTTGTCTGAGAATAGAAGTTGGAGATTTTTTTTCAAAGTTCCTGACTAGAACTTTTTTTAAAAAGAATAGCTGTTGGCACTTGCTGGTTAATAATCTGAACTCTAGAACTGATGACAATGGATCTCTGACTCAAGTGAAACTTTAGATATTGCTTATAAATTGTTGCCAGACATTTTTCTGCCACACATTTTAACGTGTCCTCCTATGGATCTGGAAATTCGGCAGTAGGAGTGATGGAAGTGTTAATTGCCACAGCTATAGTCAATTTCTGGACCTGTGAGGAGCCCTACAGGCCAGATGGCATGGACCTGTATGGATGCTGTGCCCAGATCTAGAGCCTGGGGCTTGGCCCATTTACCAGATCACATTGGCACACCAACCCCACACTGGATCCAGCCTGCAGACTGACCCTATACCACTTATCTGACCCAGGAGGCCACATAGGTTGAGCACCACTGTCCTAAATCACTGCCTGTTTTGTACACGAAGTAAGGCTGTCTTTGTTGGTCTCCATCACTGCCTTTAAAGTTTAGAAATAACGTATTTAAAATTTGTTTTTCAGCCTCTTTGTTTTATTTTTTAGATTTCAGTATTTCTCTTGTCACACAACTGCTTTGGATATTATATCCATGGTCGGTCTGTGCATGGACATGCAGATACCAATATGGAAGAAATGAATATGAACCTAAAAAGAGAAGCGGTATGAAAAGGAAATTAATCTTTTTATTCCTGTTTCCTAACTTTTTTGTATATAATTGTATGCATAATGTGTGATTGTGGGTGCACACTTGGACACTGTATTGAACTCGTGGGGAGAATGAAGTGTGATGGTTTGTCCTGAGAAAACAAATTGCATATTAGTTTTGGTGCTGCAAAGACTGCTGTCCATGCTGTAAAAGTCCAGATTTTCTAAAATATATTTATTTCTCAGTTAATTAGGTATCATCTTTCTGCTATGTTGCAGCCTGTCTTAGAATCTTTTGGTCTTGTGTAAAGTGATATTTATAAAGAGATGTGGATAAAGAGGCAAATCTCAATTTGTATACAAATTGACTTATTTTCCCCATAATTGCCTATTGCAAATTGATTTTAAAAGAAGTATGTTTTTACTTTTTGGTAATATATTTTAAAAATATATATTTATCTGTTCTGTTGGGGAGAGATTAAGTAAGATTAAAGGAAATGATGAAAAGAGCCAAGAATTTAAAGAACAAAGGTGAGGGGAAAGAATGAAACAAAACTATAAGCTTGTAATGACAAGTTAAGAGTGTGTGAAGATCAAAAGGTGTTCTAGAACCTTGACATTGTAGGCAGACCAAAAGTGAAATTTACGTTTAATGATAGATGGAGTCGGTATTTCTTGGCCTAACATTCTCTTGGTAAACCCAGCAATGCCAAAGAATGCAGATATTCAGATTCTTAAACTCCTGTATATCATAGGATAGAGAAGATTAAAAGCTCTAGCCCTTTCTGGTCTATGCATAGATTATATTTTCTTTATTCTACAATTTCAAATGTGCAGGAAAATCTGTGTAGTCAGAGAGGTTTGTTACCCAACACAGATGGCCAGACATTTCAGATTTCTATTTCAAGGAGAATGCGACAGCAATATGATAGAATTCACGAAACCCTAACAAGAGTAAGTATAATATAAAGGTAAATACACTGAGATTTTGCCATGTTACGTAGAAAAACAATAGAAAAAGAATGTATTTGCCCTTAAAATTCATTGTCACATTATTTTTCAGAAGCACGGTCCTACTAGGCTTTTAGATTCATCTGCAAATACTTTTGAGCAGAGCACAAAGGCATACCACACCATGAACAAGTTTCTTGGCTCCTTTATTGATCATGTATGTATACTGAAATTATACACAAAGGGAAAAAGTATTCTGAGTGAGAAATAAGAAATGCTGATTTACCTTGTAGTATATGTGGTAAAGATTGGTTATTGTTAATTGTATTGGGACTGCAGTGCTGCTTTTCAGGAGAGAGAAAATAAGTGGATTGATCAGGAATGCAACACAAATTGCCTCTGGCATTTCCTTTTGCAATGTGTATTAATGTTACAGTAGAATGGAGCAGTGCTCTTTCAATATATGCTGCTCTTCTAAACAGATATACTCTATCTATGTAAAGGATTTTGAGATCCTTACAGGGGAGAATGCCAGAAATACAAAATGCTGTTTGTTTGTTTGTCTGTTTGATATTTTTTCCTCTATAGGTTCATAAGGAAATGGATTATATTGTAAAAGACAAGTTGCTGCTTGAACGAATTCTTGGCATGGAGTTCATGGAACCCATAGAAAAAAGTATCTTTTACAATGGTATCAAACTAATTTCTGATTTGTTATTTATAAGTAGCACTATAACTGTGATGAGCCAGTGAATATAAAAGAAGTGGGATTTTGCTGGACCCAACTATATTTTTTTAATTTTAGACTAACCAAATAATTTGGAGAGAATGCCCTTCCTTAAGTTGCGGGGGCGAGGAAAGCAGATATAGCCTAAGCTTAAATATCAGGTAGAACAGTTACTTTTGTTTAACCTCACTGGTCTTTTAAGAAGGGAGGGAAGCAGTAAACCACTGGAGCAAAGAGAAGTTTCAAAAGTATTACAGACCAAGTAAAGAATAGCTGAAATATATACACCTAATTATGTAAAAGAATGATATCAAAGAATGGTCTTACTATTGTGCCTAAATTCATGCTTGATTTCTCTGTAGGGAATAAGGTATGTTGATTAAGGATAAGGGATACCTACCAGCAGTAGTTGGTATTAAGTGTTTCTCCACAAGGTGGTGTGAGAGCCGATTTAATACCTAGTTGCATTGCTTAGAGCAAGGGAGGCCAACCTGCAGTATGCGAGCCATCAGTGGCACAGGCAACCTGTGTGTGTGGCATGTGACAAATTAGAGAATGGACAGCAGCAGAGTGGAAAATAGGCAGGAAGCAGAAAATAGAGCAGTAGATTGGGCAGGGGAAGGGAATTGAAGTGACATTCAGGGAGGATGTAGGGCTAATTTGTGTGTTATTTTTCTGTTGTCAGAAAAAATGAGTGAAAACTAAGAGCTTGCATTTTCCGAGAGATGCCTTGAATCTAATAAATGGGGGCCTTGAGTCTAACAAGATTGAGAACCACTAGTTTAGAGCTACACTAGGATGAAGTTGACAACAGCTATTGACATCACAGAGCTACTCCTGACTTTGAGGGGTAATTTTAGCCCTCCACGGAGCGACGTACTCCAGCATATGGCAGTACATGTATGCCTGTTGTATTTTAACACTGGTAATCTCTGGGTTTATCTTTTGTGTATGTCCACACTTTGAGACCCCAATGTTAGCAAAAACATTTAAGCATATGTTTAATTGGTTTACTGACTTAGGGACAGAGTTGGCCTTTGCTGAGCATGTCAGGAATAAGGAACCCAAACAGGTCTATGTACAGTCTGGTTTTTGACTTTCAGATTTGGGTATATATGAATAGAGTTGTGACTCTGGCCATGTGTATTTTTTTTAATCTTGCATTCTGTGGAAAGCCATATTGCATACTATATTTAAAAATTTTGTATGCTATTTTTGGAGTGATATTATGATAATACTGCAGTGGTATATTTCCTTGTCCTAATTTTCCATTAATAAGTTTAGATAGGCTGATTTGTAATAGTGAACCTCATAGATAATGCTGTCACCAAATTTAATATACGTTTTCAATTCGTTTTTCTCTTTTTGGTAGATGAAGGACATTCATTCAGTGATGTGCTCTATTACGGGAATGAGGCCACACTTCTCATCTTTGACATGCTGTTTTTCTCTATTGTGGATTTGGCTTCCCAAAGTTTTGTTCTAGCAGCAATTCTCACTTATGTGCAACAAGAGGTAAATTTAGCATTTAAAAAAAACTATTTTAAAACACATCTTAGCAAAACAGGTTACATAATCCACATAATGAATGTGTTATCAGAAAACTAAGAAACAGTTTGTAGAAAAAATGTATTGAATTTTTCTCAAAAAAGAGATGGATGATTTTACTATGCAACTATCACCATGCAGATGAAGGACATCTATTAACAGCATCAAAAAGAAAACAAGAATAACAGTGAAAATTAATAGTGCACAATATTGAAGGCTGACTTTCAAAGGGAATTGTATGCCCAAGTCCTAAGTGAATGAATGTATTTTTATGAAAATGTTTGTTTTTCTCCCTACAACTCAATGTCATTAACGGGATGTAAAGATTTTTGCAACTTAGATTGTAAGGAGAGTAATATGTTTAGAAAGTTCTGCTGTAGTAAAATTTTTGTGGTTTCTTTTCTGTCCTCATAAGGGATCAAATGCCCTAACAATCATGTAAGGCTTCACACTATACATGATGATAAGTAGCCAGGTTTTTTTTCCCTCTTGGAAGAATATCTTGTATCATACTTTATTAATGCAATACTGAAACATACAAGGTCATTTGTTATCATTATCATCAGTTTACAGGCCCCTGGTTTAATCTTTTAAGTGTCAGAACAGCTAGGGTGTAATAATATTTGTCATGTAACATTTGATTGCTTTTGAAAAAAAGAAGAAAAAACTTTTTGTTTTATTATGGTACACTGTTAATAAGGGATGTACTGTCATGATAAGTCCAAACATGTGACAATGAATAAGTGATGTATTATTTTGCCTGAGTTAAACTCAATTATTTTAAATGTTTTTCTTTTTGATGACTTTTTTTTTAGATTTTTAGATTTATTCGGAATACAGTGGGGCAGAAGAATTTGGCATCCAAAACCTTGGTGGATGAAAGATTTCTTATTTAATTGACTCATTTGATGAAAGACCTTTTCCAAGAGCGAATCATGGATTTAAAGGTTTATGAACTGCATATTAGTTTGCAGTGCTATGTTAAATATTTAATGTAAATAATTCAACTTTGTCTCATTTTATACTGTATGCAGAAGATTTTTATTTTTCAGTAATTTGCAGATACATTTGTGTTTGGGACACTAAACCACATGTCTTAAGGGAATGGTAGATTATGCCTTGGCATGTCTTGACTGTAGGAAGTTAAACTAGCACTGTTGTTAGCACAAGATCTTTTTATTGCCTTCAGTAAGAGTGTGAATTGTGTATTTTTCAGAGAGAATTTCAGTACATCTGACACTAACTGGGGTTATAATCTTCTTTTACATGTGTTCCCATAATTGCTTAAATAATTGTTTTCAATTTACTATAAAAAATGTTTATCAAATATATTTCAGATTGAACACAACAAAAGATTGGCCCAAAATTCCAAATTAATTTGGAATTGTTTCTAGATTGGCAAAATAGAGGTAGTGAGATGTACCTTTCAGGACGGTTTTCAGATCTGGGGATAAAAATATTGCATAAGTGCCTCTTTTGCTGTACTTTAGTTTTTAATGTGTTTTCTGGTTATCTCCTTTTCTGACATTTTTCCCTTATGATTTAACATGAGGAACATGTCCATATGATCTGTTTCAACCATTGGAATTTAATCCACTTAATAAGCGGCTTTTTAACAACTATTAAGGTTTATGGGCAGATTAAAGTCCAGGAGATAGTGAAGTGCCAACTACTATGTATTCCTTTGAAACATTTCCCTGAGACTGTCTTTTAAAAAATATAATATATATATTTTCAATAAAGAAGTAATAGTTTCAC